AATGTTCAAGCCGAGATGATCCAGGAAATGATTTTTTAATGCTTGAATTGCAATTATTGATGAGTTGGCGAGGATTTACTTAGATTGATAGTGCTGCATCCCTATCAAACCATTTTGCCAATGCACCATCTAAACTAAAACTATTAGTTACATATGTAGCATAGGATGGAATGTCAAAAACATGCACGAAAAATCACCAGAATCTACATGACTACATAAAATCACCAAAAATCCGACCCATTGCTCTTCCCAAGCTTTTTTTTTCCAAATACTTCACATTTTTTTTCAAATATTTGATATTTATTTCATATATTCTTCATCTCTTGATAAGAAGCACTCAAAAAAATCCAAATTACAATACTTCAGATAAGTTTCTGAAATATCAATATCAGCAAAATCTTTGAGGGAGACTCAACCTTTCACCAATATCAATCATAAAAAGCAAAATCAGCAAAATCCTTGAGGGAGTCAAGGAATGCCAAATTACAATACTTCAGAGAAGTTTCACAAATATCAATATCAGCAAAATCCTTGAGGGAGTCAACTGAGGGAGACTCAACATTTCACAAATATCAATCTTGAAAAGCAAAATCAGAGACTCAACATTTCAATGAGGAGACTCAACATTTGAATGAGTGAACAAAAATAGAAAAATCTTTGAGAAGACTCAACATTTAAATCATTTAAATGAGAAGTGTGTGTGAATGAGAAGACTCAACATTTAAATGAAAAGTGTGCCTAAGATTCAACGTTTATTAAATGAGAAATGTGTTTGAATGAGAAGATTTCACAAATATCAATGCAAAAACATCAAAATCTTTGAGGAAGACTCAACATTTAAATGAGTGAACAAAACAGTAATCTTTGCAGCAAAATTTTGAGAAGACTCATTTTAAATCATTTAAATGCACCAAAATCTTTGAGAAGACTCATTTTAAATCATTTAAATGAGAAGTGTGTCTGAATGATAACACTCAACATTTACATAAGGTAAGTCTGAATTAGAAGACTCAACATTTAAATGAGATGTGTCTGAGATTCAATGTTTCAGCGTTTAAATGAGTAAGTGTGCGTCTGAATGAAAAGACTTCTTCTCAACATTTGAAGTGTGTGTGAGATTCAACGTTAAAAAGATGAGGATTAGAGAGAAATGAAATCAAATGAAGACTCAACATTTAAATGAGCGAACTAAAGCAACAAATCAAATCAAATCTTTGAGGAGACTCAACATTTAAATGAGTGAACTAAATCATCAAAATCTTTGAGAAGACTCGATATTTAAACGAGTGAACTAAAGCAACAAAATCTATGAGAAGACTCAAACATTTATCGGAGATTCAACGTTAAACCTTATAAAAGAAGGCTGAGGATGAGAGAGAAATCAAATCTCACCATTCCATTTTCCACGCAATAACAACATTCATTAACTAAAAATAATAGTTTACCTTTCTTTTCTTATTTATTTTTATAAAATTAATTATAAAATATATGGTATATATTTTTACATTTTGTAAATATATACTCTTGCTTCAATACATAACTAAAACATCTCATACAATGAAAAGTATATTAGAAAATCACACTAAAACTAATGAATTGTGTGACATGGAAAAAACACTAATAACTACATTGTCACAAATATTGATACCAACTGATTGAGAGTAAGAAAGAAGTATGCAGCAAAGAGAGAGACAGATAGCAAAAGATATATAAAAGCTAATATAGTTTAGCTGGGCAAATGGTTTGGGCGTGCACTTTAGGGTTTTTTAACTTCTATAACATCAAACCCTAATTAACGTGATAGAGATATATAGAGAGAGGGGCATACATACATTGCGAGAGGTTATCATGTTCTTGGATGGGGAATCCTCTTGGATATGGAAACAATTGTAATGCATATCTTCCTCTCTCTTGAATTTGAGTTGGGGATAAGTATCCATTTTAGGAAGTTTAAAACAAAAAATATAGAGAAAAGAAATCTCCTATTTCTCAAATTAAGATAGAAAACAATATCTCTCTCTCTCTCAAATCTCTACCTAAAATCTCTAGCGCAAGCTTTCTATGCTTCCCCTATAGTATAGAAGTTCTATCCTCCCCTTATCCAACTTTCCATTTTGAATAGAGGGCTAAGATTGCCCCAATCACAATGTTCTCTACACTATTTTATTTTTAAGGTTTTTTCTATATAAACTATTTGACACCAAATTTTGGACATCTATTCTTCTATTAAACTTGTACTAGCGAAAAAATTATAAAAAAAATATTTTCAATAAAACAAAATGATCAAAATACCCCTGAAAATTTCAATGGATATTTTGGTTATTATATTTCATTGAAAAATTATTTTTAATATTTTTTTATAGGTGCGCCTAGATGAGTTGATAGAACGTACCAAATTTCATATTCATATAATTTGCATAGCAAAAACTAAAAATAAAATGCTATGAGACATCGGATCTAAGATCAAACGGTGAGTGGCTCTCTTGATCAAAATTGTAAGGCTGGATCGTAGGGGAGGATAAAACTTCTATCCTGTAGAGAAAGCATAGAAACTTTTCCAAAACACTACTTCAATATTCATGTCTATCTATTTTATTCCAAATCTCTACTTCAATATTCATGCTTATCTAATTTGTCAAAAACTGTACGTGCCAACCGTGTAGCTCCTTCTTATTAGCATGTACACTGTCTTTTTAAAATTTATAATTTTTTTTTATTTCTTTCTATCTTTATCTATTTTGTTTAATTTCCTTTCTATCTTTATCTATTTTTGTTTTATTTCCTTTCTATTTCATCTCGTTTTTTGTCTGCTTTCTCTCTTCTCCACGTATTCTCCGTCTGTCCTTTATAGATAAATTTATGCACAAAAAAGATGATGAGTATCGCTAACGGCAACAAGCGCCATATACAGAGAAAAAAATAACAGATTATAAAGGAAAACTGATCTCATTTTTGTTATTAAGAATAATAAATAAATTAATTTTCACGACCGAATTTGATAAAGAGAAAAACAAAAAGCCCAACTTCCCAATTACCACGGGATTTTTTTGAGATAAAAAATCTCGATTACTCGGATGAGTCAACTTGGACTATTTAGTGAATAACTTCTTCTTCTTTTTTCTTGTAAAAAAGAATAACTTCTTTTTATATCATGTAAAAAAAAAGAATAACTTCTTTTTAAGAAGAGAAAAATAACCAAATTCTAATTCTTTGTATTTTAGGAAATTGAAAAAAAAAATGAAAAAAAAAGGTCATCTTGTAGTAGTTTTCCACGTTTCCTTCCAAGTGACCCGCAATACATACCGCAGCTCCCGCAATACAAACCGCACCTCATTTAAGCTTTGAAAACTCCACAAATGGCGACTGATGAAAAACGCTCAGGGAGGAGAGCCTGTAACAAGAGAGAGATGAAATTAGGGTTGGGAATATAGATACAAGAAACAAACCCCGGGAAGAGAAGCCGCAGTACAGAGAGAGGAGGGTTATAGAGACAACTGACTCGAAATGATTTCCTTGGCAGATTTATATGCAGTTTTCACGGCTATGGTGCCTCTTTACGTAGCAATGTTCTTAGCCTACGCCTCAGTAAAACGGTGGGAAATTTTCACACCTGAACAATGCTCAGGAATCAACAGATTTGTTGCGACTTTTGCAATACCTTTCCTAGCGTTCAATATCATCTCATCCACTGATCCTTATAAAATCAACTTGAAGTTCATATTAGCTGACACAATGCAGAAACTATTGATTCTCTTTGTATTAATCTTGTGGGCTAAATTCACCAGGTGGGGAAGCTTCAATTGGATGATAACCCTATTTTCTCTATCTATTATGCCTAACACATTGATTATAGGGATACCTTTGTTGAGGCCGATGTATGGAGAAGAGTGCATAGGGCTTTTGGTTCAAGTCGTGGTTCTTCAGTTGGTGGTGTGGTGCCCCATCTTCTTGTGTTTGTATGAGCTTCATGCTGCGAAGGTGACGATGAATGGTAAGGTACGTTTTACAAATGATACAAATGAGGGAAAGGAAGGCGACGAGATGATGAATGTTGAAGTGATTTTCAAGAAAAAGAATACCCCAGCAGATGAATGCCCAGGTATGATACCTTTGCTTTATGGGAAATGAGAAAGGAGAACCATGGCTCAAAGAAAGAGTGGACGGTGTCTTTGACCAGTCCAAAATAAAAACTAAGTTTAGTATAAAGCTGATTAGTTTAATAGCCTTCATTCTTTCAAATTCAAGTCACATCTATAATAGTCTTTATTGTATCAAATTCTAATCACAACTATTACATCACCATACCCTCACTGATTTGATTTGATTTGACGGCCAGTGCATTTGATAGCACTATCCTACCGGCTTTGTGTCAAGCCTGGCTGAAATTCGATTGAGGGAGAGTGGATGTACTTTGCATCAAAAGTTTTCAATGAGAAACATGAATTAGTATGCTAATTCCACAAATTCACAAATTTTGAGAAAGGTGATTGCTTTAGCATACTATATAAGCATTATACTAGTAATATAGTATGCATGTGTTATACAAAATAACAATTACTTCCTCACTATTCTTACGTTTGTCATACTAAGTTTTTGGAGAAAGTATAAGATGGGTCCATTTGCTTTTAACACAACGAGGTCACACTTATTCCTAGCCATCAAATGCAAAATCAAATGGCTTAGGGTGTGTCATTGATTATGCACAATGCCGAATAAAAAATTTCTCGAACTTTATGTATTGTTTTTAGAGTTCAAATTTCAAATCTAAAGGCTAGAGATAATTGTGACCTTCTTGTATAAAAATTGGATGATCTCATAGTATACATTCCCTTAAGTTTTAAATGTGCATTTCCATCTCATGCTTTGGACCAATCCTAACCACCACATCAAATAAAATGGCAAATAATTGTTTTTTTGTTTCCGTTTTTTACAATCTTATTCTCCATTAAGTAGCCTTTCCTTAAAATCTGATGATTTCCGAGAAAATTTCTACCAAACTTTAGAAACATATTAAAGTTTTGAGATTAAAATTCAGGTGTCTCGAACTCTCAATATCAAAATTCATATACCGGGCCCTCACATCAATATGGACTGTATACACTAAGTATTCAATTTATATTGGCTACATAACATTTTACTCTTGAAACTTACTTGGGGACACACGGACACAATTCAATCCAAATTAAATGACAAGCAATCATTCATTCTCAATTGTTTTTTTTTGGAAATGCCTTCCTTTCTTTTGACCTTGTTTATAGGTGACTCGCTTTAAGTGGTTCTGATATTGCTAAAATCAATTTCATGAAGTAGGTGATTTAGCACATTCTAATGAAAGAGAAGTCCAAGGGGAGGTGACCCACCCAAGAATGACCACCACCAATCTCTTCCTTTCGGTTTTATCCAAGGTTATGAAGAACCCCAATACCTATGGAAGTGTTTTGGGCCTCATTTGGGGACTGATTTCCTTTAGGTAATTTCACTTTCTTCTTATTTTTTGTTTTGTTTCCCTTATTTGCTAAAAAAAAGTGTTTTCCTTCTTGCAAATTGACAATTTAAAAAGGATTCCACAAATGTGTACATCACATAACAAAATTTTAGGTAAGAATGATAAATGAGACACTGACCAGCATAAACAATGTCACCTTATCACCTACTCTTTTTCTTTCTTTCCTTTCTCTTTATAACAGTTTTGCTCTTGATTTCTCAGTATAAATTCATGGTTTCATGAATTTTATGGCCACAAAAGTTGTAGAGAAGTTATTTATGATTTTATTTTGCATGCTTAAACAAATGAAGGTAAAACAATTTTGTAAGAGTATGAGGTTCTCTGGAGAGACTCTCTATGTCCATAAATGTATGAATATATAAACTTGTCTTATATAGACAAATAACAGATGAAAATAATAGAAGAAAAAGAAAAAGCATATATACTACACCTGCGCTTACCATAAAATATAGAATACTTGACCTACCCTTCCCATTCATACTTATTACGGTATACTGATTATAGTATACACCTTCCATACTGGCCCTATAGACAATATACACTTCCTTTGACACTCCCCTCCAAACTCAAAATGCTTCAAAAGAGAGTAGCTGAAGTTTGTATAATAAGCTGTGGAAACAAGCAATTGGATATTCAAGTAATAATGCAGACCAATAGAAGCAGTGGCAATACCGGGCAGGGTGAATATGATCCAAGGTTCTGATATTGAGTTAGAGTCCCAGGTTTCTCTGAAGAGACTTTGTATCCCTTAATATATAAATGTACAAACTTGTCTTATATAGACAAATAACAAATGATAAGAATAGAAAAAAATCCTAAATACGTTTACTATACCCACACTTACTATAAAATACAAGATACTATACCTACCCTTCTTGCACCTATGCCTCAAATATATATTGATTATAGTGTACACCTTATATACTAACCATGTAGGGAATAAACATTGTCTTATTATATTTTAGCTTTCGAATTAGTTGCAAGCTATGTTTTTTCAAAGAACGCTTATAAGAAACTTTTTGAATGATAGAGAACTGAATTTCCTTCTCTACACAAAACACTTTTCATATTCCACAAAGGATAATAGTTTATCTTGTTATTGCAGGTGGAACATTAGCATGCCAAAGATAATACACAAGTCTGTGTCAATATTGTCAGTCACCGGACTTGGCATGGCAATGTTCAGTCTAGGTGGGTGCCCCACTTAATATCCGTGTATGTATCTCTCTTTTGACAAATTACTACTACTTTACCTAATGTATGAATTCTCGTTGGAGGCCTAAAATTTTTTAATCCAATGTAGCTTAGGTTTTCCACTTTAATTCAAGTTTAGGTCTTTTAATTTGATTGATATGCATTAACTTTTAGAAATAGCCTAGTTGTTTTTTAAGGACACAGTTTCTATGAGTCCATGTAGAAATGAGCAACCGCATAAAAATCTATTTTTGAGATATATTTTTGGACCTAATTTTTAAGGCCATATAATCTCTAACATGGAAAACATCAATATGAAAAACTAAATAATTTTTGAAAATTAAAAATAATAATTTTATTAAGAAAACATTTTGACCGTTAGTTTCAATCGTTTTTAGATAGACCGCCTCTTTTCATCGATCTTTAAGATTGATGTTTTATACCTTGCGACCACATAATGTAGAATTGCGGTCCAGCCCACATGAAACAATGTTCTTGTTTTTAAAACCTATTAAAGAGTTATAGGCATCACAGCTTAGCCCTCATGTGATTGTCGGTTTGAAAGAGAGGTTTTCGATTTTGATTAGTAAATCAAAGAAAACATATATGATGTAGGTCAACTTAAGACCCAAAAGTCCAATTTGTTCCACTTGTTCCGATAAGCTCTAAATGGGAGAAAGATGGTCCCAATAAGAGTTAATTTCCAGGATTGGGAGTAGGAGTACACTAAGGAATTTGTGGTTTTGTAGGAAATTTGGTAGGCTTGAATATGAATGGAAAATAGGAGTCTTGCATTGAAGTTATTGTGATTTGTATTGGTACTTATATTGCATAGGTACTAGGATAATTTTGAATGTTTTATGAGTTCCAAAGGTGCGATTGGAACTTCCGATATATAAGGACTTGGTTAGGGGACCTTTAGAAGCACTTAGACTTAGGTTTTGAGTTTATATAAGGTTTCTACAATGGCTGTAAAGAGGGAGTACGAATTTTGAATGAAAATTACATCCGTTTGCTTTTGGTAGAGCTTGGCTCCCACCCTTTTCTCTCTCTAAATTCTCTCTTTATGTGTGCTGTCTCACTAAGTTGTTGTCCCTCGCACTTTAGCAGCATCGTTTGGTATCAGAGCCAGAGTTTAGACTTGGGCAGGGTGATGTCTCCATTTACACATCCTCTTTCCCTAGCGGCAAGAAGGAGGAGAGGTGGTCATGGCAACTACGGAGTGAACAATGCAAGAGATGAAGAGTTGGAGGCACTCCATAGGCAAGTTAAGCTGCTATCCTTGCAACTGGAGTGACTAGGCAAGTTAAGCTGCTATCCTTGCAACTGGAGTGACAAGAGGCTTGTAGTAAACATGAACTCCACCAGGAATATTCAAGTGATGACTCGGATATTAATCCTTTTGCCAATTGGCATCGACAAAGGGATGACCATGGAACCAGGCCCATGTTTGTGAATGACTCCACCAAAATTGAATTGCCCGAGTTCCATGGACAGCTGCACCCAGAAGAATTTTTTGATTGGTTGAGTGCCATTGAGAAGTACTTTGATTTCAATGAAACAGCAGAGGACCTCCATGTGAAGCTTGTTGCCACTAGGCTTTGCAGATATGCTTCAGCATGGTGGGACAAAGTCCAGCAGATGCGCTTAAGAAAAGGAAAGCCTAAGATTTCTTCTTGGGAAAAAATGAAATCGAGGTTGAACGAGAAATTCCTACCTGTTGATTACACGTAATTGTTCTTTTCACAATTCAATAATCTCCGACAAGAAACAAAGAGTGTGGCTGAGTACACCGAGGAGTTTTACAAACTTATGGCGCAAAATGACATCCAAGAAACCGAGGAACAACTCATTTCACGATATGTTGGTGGGTTGCGGTTAGCTATCCGTGATGAAGTAGAGATGCGCCGGTTATGGAAAATCAATGACGCCTATCAACTAGCTTTGAAGGTTGAGGGGAAACTTTCTCGTGGTGGTGCACGAAAGTATGCCGAGGTACGTAGTTTCTACCCACATTCAAAGGGTGAAACTTCCAAAGGTGGAAATACCGGTAAGAACCTTTCAAAGAACTCCACGACTAGCCACCGTGGGTCGGCTCAAATGGGAAGGCAGTCGAGGCAAGTTAACGGCCTCTTACTTTCTTCAAATGTGGCCAAACTGGACACATAGCAAGTGAGTGTCCTCGGCGACAAATTGGCACCCATGTCAACATTGTGGAAGAGAGATGAAGAAGAGTTTGTAGATGACACTGCAAAGCCCATCTATGATGAGGAGACAAATGTGGTATGAGAAGAGATCGAACCTGAGGGAGGAGAGAGCTAGTAATTTGCCGAGCGTCAACCACTCCAAAAGTAGATTCTGATGAGGATTGGCTGAGATCCAATATCTTCAAAACTCGTTGCAAATCAAGTGGCAAGGTGTGCACCATTGTTATTGATGGAGGAAATCGTGAGAACATTGTCTCGCAAGAAATGGTGGACAAACTCAAGTTGAAAAACAAACCGCATCCAAGACCCTATCGAATAGCATGGGCCTGCTTAGTTTCTTTTTCATTGGGTAAAAATTATAAAGATGACATTTGATGTGATGTCATTCCTATGGATATATGTCACATACTTCTTGGGAGGTCATGGCAGTTTTATAGGAGAGTCAAGCATGATGGCCACAAAAACACCTACACATTCCGGATGGGTAATGTAGAGGTCATGCTCTTGCTTAGCAAAGAAGAAAGTGCACCCAGACCTACCCAACAAGAGGTTTATCCGAGAAAGCATGAGTCCATGTGTGGTGCCAGCATTGTTAATCCCAGAGAAGGATTGCGCATGGCGAGTGTGCATTGATAGTCGTGCTATCATCGAATCACTATCAAATATTGGTTTTCAATTCCAAGATTAGATGATATGTTGGACATGTTGGGGGGTGCCCAAGTGTTTTTTGAAATCGATTTAAGAAGTGGGTACCACCAAATTTGAATTAAGCCATGAGATTAATGGAAAACTGCATTCAAGACTTGCGAGGCTCTATATGAGAGGCTTGTCATGCCATTTAGTCTTACCAATGCTCCCAGGACTTTTATGTGTATGATGAACCAGGTTCTTCGGCCGACTATTGGCAAATTCGTTGTTGTCTATTTTGATGATATCCTTCTCAATAGTCATGACCAAAACAGCATATTAATAACTTAAGGGTTGTGTTAACCTCTCTAAGGAGTGAAAAGCTTTATATTCGTCTTAAAAAGTACTCTTTCTTAACAAATTACCTAGTTTTCCTAGGCTTTGTTTTGTCCTCTACAGGTGTGCGGGTGGATGAAAGTAAAGTAAAGGCTATCAAAGAATGGCCTACACCTCAAAGCATCCATGATGTGCGAAGCTTTTATGGATTGGCTTCATTTTATTGAAGGTTTATAAAAAAATTCAGCACCATCTCAGCGCCCTTGACTGATTGCATCAAGAAGGGAGAATTCTAATGCAACCATCCACCAAGAAGAGCTTCCAACTTGTCAAGGAAAAGCTCTCAACTGTGCATGTGCTTGTGCTACCCAACTTTGATAAGGTGTTTGAGTTAGATTGTGATGTATCAAAAGTTGGTATTGATGGAGTACTCAACCAAGAAGGGCATCTAATAGCCTTTTTTAACGAAAAACTCAATGAGGCTAGACGGAATTACTCAACTTATGACTTGGAATTCTATGCCGTTGTGCAGGCCCTTCGGCATTGGCGACACTATCTCATTCTAAAGGATTTCATCTTGAACTCAGACCTTGAGGCACTCAAGTACATCAATAATCAAAGTAAACTTAGTCGAATGCATGCTAAGTGGGTGGCTTTCTTGCGAGAATTCAGTTTTGTATTAAAGCACAAAAGTGGGATACTTAATCAAGTGGCGGATGCCCTTAGTAGACGTGTTATGCTGCTAAACATTATGAGTGTGCGGGCATGCCTAAAGAAAGAAAGATTTCCTACAAGAATCTACCACAAGCTCAAAGAAAAGAAGGTTGGACCATGTGGCATACTTGAGCAGATAAACAATAACTCCTGCAAGATTGAACTTCGACCGTATATCTTTACTCACCCCACCTTCAATGTGCAAGATCTTACCAAGTATTATGATATTTCGAATACAAACTCGATGGCAAGTTCTCTCAATCCTAAGGCCTAGGGGAGGTTGATGTAGGTCAACTTGAGACCCTAAAGCAGAATTTGAACCACTAGTTCCCATAAGCTTTGAATGGGGAGAAAGAGGATCCCAATGAGAGTTAATTTCTAGGATTGGGAGTAAGAGTATAGTTAGGAATTTATGTTTTTTTGTAGGAAATTGGGTAGCTTTGAATATGTATGGAAAATAGGAGTCTTGCTATTGTAATTTGTATTGGAACTTATGTTGCATAGGTACTAGCATAATTTTGCATGTTTTATGAGTTCCAAAGGTGGGATTTGAACTTCCAATATATAGGGACTTGGTTAGGGGGATGAGCATGTAGACTTAGGTTTTGAGTTTATATAAGGCCTTTACAGTAGCTGTAAAGGGGGAGTACGAATTTTGAATGAAAATTACAGCAGTTTGCTTTTGGCAGAGCTTGGCTCCCACAATTTTTGTTGAAATAAACCAAATCTGTTAAGAAAAATGGTGAATGTTGAAGAACATTTTGGGACAAATTTGTTGAGTAGAAATTTGGGCGTGAAGGTCTAATTTCTATCCAAATTTGACAAAGTATTTAGACAAATTCATCAAAATGATTTCTTGAAGCAATGCGTTTTTGTTTGTAGGTCTTTTTATGGGATCTCAACGCAAGATAATAGCATGTGGGAAAAGGAAGGTTATCTTAAGCATGGTTGTGAGATTTATATTCTCATCTACTGTAATGGCTATGTGTTCTATTGCAATTGGCATACGGGGCATTGCACTGAAGACTGCTATAATACAGGTATGCAAACTATGAAACTTATAAAGCAAATTTGATGCACAAATGCTTACCACAGCTTTGGAATCTAAATTTTGCATCCCAATATTGGTTTAATATGAAAGTTTAAATCAAGAAAATGGGAGAATGATGATGAAAATCAAGAAACGTTTCACCCAAGTTACCACAATAAAGTTTCAATTTTTCTTATAGGCATTTGATTCTAGTTTTGAATAAACCAAAATAACATTTTCAAGCTTTCTTCTAATTGTTACCTAGTATAGTTATTGGAGTGATGATAGTTGTTTTCTGAGATCACTTGTATATCCAGAGAGTTGAAGTAACAAGTTGAAAATGCAGGCGGCGCTTCCGCAAGGAGTGATTACTTTTGTGTATGCTAAAGAGTACCAAGTGCATGAAGAAGTTTTGAGCACCGCGTGAGTGTCACTGAACCTCCTTTCATTACATCAAAGGTTTATTAAAAATTCTGAAATCCCTAAAATGTCTCGCTGATTTTGTATGTCGATTTTAGGGTTATTTTGGGCATGCTTGTTTCGTTGCCGGTGGCATTGATCTACAATCTCTTGTTGGGCCTTACATGAGAGAGGGGAAAACAGAGAAAGAACTTTCAAGAAGACATGGAAGAAGGTGAAAATGAAGATATATTGATCAATACTAATTGAGGTTGATCACATTGGAGACATGGCAGAGTATACAAGCTTCCTCAATGTTGTATCTTTTTGTAGAATGTGTACCCTTGAAAGATGAAACAACAAATGCATACAAGTGTACAGTGTGGTCTTGCAGCACCACCCAAACAAGGTTGGCACAAGAAAGTGAAGTGTGCATTTAATGAAGGTGTGGTTCTTATGAGGCAGGTCCTAAACAAACAAAGTAAGGCGCACCTTTGATAGTGTCGAAAGATATTTTTTATTGGAAATCTTTGTTGTGGTTTGAAATTTTATTTTTTACATCTAATTATAAAATTTAAAGCTTCAAAAATAATGTAGATCAAGTAGATCTCTGAACACTTGAAACTCTTGAAAATTCACGGTTCAGAAAATACATTACAAGATGCACTATTGAAAATTGATGGTTCAGAAAATACATTACAAGATGCACTATTTCCAAGACTTGAAATCCATTTTTTCTCATGCCATGTATCTTGATGTCGAGATATCAATTTGAGAAAATTTGGAGATCGAAACAACCTCTTCTAGTGAATTTTAAGGTGATTGTTTAGAGCGTCACCCTTTCATAAGGGGCCATTTGGGTACTTGGAAATCTATTACATGGTAAAAAAATATGATATTTCTACTGTTTGGGTACACTTTATAATAAGGAAATGAAAAGAGATTTCCAGATTTCCCTAGAAATCATAAAACACATTACTCGCTGCTGTGAAACTTTATAGCAAGAAAATGGAAAGAGATTACCATATTTCCCTAGAAATCATAAAACACATTACTCGCCGTAGTAAAGCTTTATAGCAAGGAAATGGATAGAGATTCATAAAACACATCACTCGCCACATCACTCGCCGCCGCGGTGAAAGGTGAAAGGTGAAAACACCGCGGCGGTGAAAGGTGAAAGATGAAAAATTTATTACACGCTTGATGGTAATCTTTAGAAATTTTTCATTATGCGTGGTGAAAGGTGAAAAATCTATAAATCTTCATTATACACGGTGAAAGGTGAAAAATCTATAAATCTTCATTATGCACAGTGAAAGGTGAAAAATCTATTACGAGCTTGATGGGTAATCTTTAGAAAACTTTCACGTATCTCTTTGCCCGATCTTAATAAAATAGCGACATGTCTATTCGGTTTCATTATTCGTGTCTCTCTGCCCGATCTTAATAAAATTGCAACCTGTCTATTCGGTTTCATTATTCGTGGTGAAAGGTGACAAATTTATAAATCTTTCATTATGCACAGTGAAAGGTAAAATATCATTATGCGGGGTGAAAGGTGAAAGATTTATTATATCATTATGAGTGGTGAAAGGTGAAAAATTTATAAATCTTTCATTATGCAAGCTGAAAGGTGAAATATCTATTGCGTGCATGACAGGTAATCTTTAGAAAAATTTCTCGTCTCTCTGCCCGATGCCAGCTTAATAAAATAGCAACCTGTCTATTCGGTTTGCATAGGTGCTCCCTCCCTCTCTAAACTCGTCCCCTCTCTCTTGAACCCTAATAACTCTGTCCCTCTCTAAGGCCGTATAACTCCATCCCTCTCTAAACCCTAATAACTCCGTCCCTCTCTAAGCCCGTCCCCTCTCTCTTTAAGCCTGTCCCCTCTCTCTCTAAGCCCCGTCCTCCCTCCCTCTCTAAGCCCATCCTCCGTCCCTCTCTAAGCCCGTCCCCTCTCTCTTGAAACCTAATAACTCCTTCCCTCTCTAAGCCCGTCCTCTCTAAGCCCGTCCCCTCTCTCTTGAACCCTAATAACTCCTTCTCTCTCTAAGCCCGTCCCCTCTCTCTTGAACCCTAATAACTCCTTCCCTCTCTAAGCCCGTCCCCTCTCTCTTGAACCCTAATAATTGGCATAAAGTGCTCCCTCTCTCTTTAAACCCCTTCATCTGTATTTTGTTTTATACAAAAAATTAAATTTAAACTTAGCCTATCCATTCTCCCGTCCCCTCTCTCTTGAACCTTAATAATTGGCATAAAGTGCCTCTAAAAAAAAAAAAGTTGAAAACTTTCCAAATTGCTCTTATTCAGTTCTAAAAATTCAAAACAATTAGCTGTATTTTAGCAATTTTAACCCAAAAAAAAGCTTAACCGAACTATGATTGGAGGTAAAATTGTCAAACTACCCCTCATTGTTATGATTTCACAACACCGAATACGAATTTTTCAATTTCTTTATAGACGATGCACCTGATTGATATAAAATTTAAAAGCACACCCTTAAGCATAATTTTTACCAAATTGATATAAAAATTAAAAAACATATGCTCGAGTGTAAATCTTTGACCCATTAGTGATATTGTTAAAGGGGTTTCAAACCTTTTAGTGATGTTTTTCTTTAAATGAAACGATGTCATTCATTAATGTTTTCCTTAAAATAAAACGATGTCATTCATTAAGTACATTTACGGAAACGCTTTTTTTTTAGCTTTTTTAATACATGCACTTGGTTCGGCTTCCTTGAACATGGTTATCTTTTTTTCATTTGAAATTTTTTTACAATATCCCAAATTTTATTAAAATAGTGTGATGACAAAATAGTACTTACATTGACGCGAACAACCAGAGCATCAACACCTCTCTTTTCAGCAAAAAAATCAGCCAACTCATTTCCTTCCCTCAAAATACCTCCTGTAACGGTGGCTAGGTGAATAATCTGAACCCATATTTACCACAACACCTTTTGTTCTTACTTACACCATAAAATAGTGTTCAAAAAGTCTCCCTCAACCATACAAGATTGATCTATATCTGTCTTGACCCCATAAAAAACAAAACGTGAGAGAAAGACATTATAGAACATCATAGGGTTAGTAACCTCTATCTCTTATCCCGTGAGATAGAAAAAGTCTTTAAGTAAAAGATAACCCATTTATCTCCCTCTCTCTTGAAAAACGATATTTGTTATTTTTAAAAATCTAAAAATACTATGAACAATTTTCTTAAACTCCTTGTATTTTTATGGTATGTATCTTATATTGTCTCTAGGGTGGGTTCCCTTTATTCTTGATTCATGTATCTGCCTTTAACTTGGCTTAATAATGTACTGTTGGTAATAGATATGCCTCATTGTTGGGAGTCCTTTAATAAAAAAACTTAAACATTTTGGGAAAATTATCTTTTAAAAAGTTGAATGTTTTATTTTGAAAAGTTTAAATAAATTTTAAATACTGTGTTTGATAATATAT